AATCCCTACAGGAGCAATTTGAGGTGAAGTGTCTTGCCCAGGGACACAACGACATGCTGACTGCAGTGGGACTCGAACTTGCTATCCCCTGATTTGAAGTCCAGCACACCCCCCACTGAGCCACAGTCTCCCCCACTGAGCCACAGCCTCCCATATGTATAATATCAGTTAAAATAAGTGCTTCAACATAGTTAACATAGCAGGAAAGCAATATATTAGATGCTAAGTACTTTGTCAGGCTTAATATTTATCTGTAGATACCAGAGGTGGGGACTCGAGTCACATGACTTGACTCGAGTCAGACTCGAGTCGCATATTTTTTTACTTGAGACTTGCTTGACTAACATTGATAAAAGACTTGACTTGACTTTGACTTGGTATTCATGACTTGAGACTTGACTTAAGCTTGAGACAGATGACTTGAAAGGACTTGACTGTTTACAATTAAATATTTGCGTTTGTTTTTGTAGTGAGATATTACGTTTAGTTTTTTCGAAAAACGTGATTGGGTGATTATAGCGCCGTGCGCGCAAACCTGGCAACCCACTATACGGCAGGAGTGTCAGTTAACATGGCAGCGGCTAGCGTTACTCCAAAAATAGTGAAGTTTGGATTCAAGGATTATGTTGTCGATGACGCTAATAAGAAGAGAACATCGGTATGCAGGGTCTGCAGCATAAAGATCAGTGACACGACCACCACAACATCCAACTTCATTCGTCACTACAAAAACAAACTCAGAGAAAGGTAAGTGAATGTGTTGTGTTAGCTAGAAAGCTAACGTTAAGTTTAAGCTACGTTAGACTTGGTTTCAAATCGATTAAGCATTGCAAAGAGAAGACAAAATGGTAAATTAACACTAGAACCGCCAAGGGATTCATTTGTACTAACCCTGATACTGACGGGCTGTCAGGAGAGGGAGAGAGAGAGAGGAAAAGAGATGCCTCGTTTATTTCCCCTGTGTTATTATCAGAAGTTACTGTAAACTTGAATAATGTAGTTCATCTACTTTTAGTAGTTTGTTTAAATGTTTTAATTATGTTGTTTTTGTTTGTAGAAGTGCATCATTCCTTGATTTATTGTAAAATGAATCTGAACTTTTTGATCTGTTATGATGATAAACTGAAGCAATTTCTAAATTAACCCAATTAACTGAGTTTTAAATCGTCCTACTTAGTTTATAAGGAAATTATGAAGAGGAACAAATTAAATGATTTGAAAATGATATCTATGTAGGTGCTGACGCTGTTGGCGGTTCTAGTGTTAACAGACATTTAAATTAAATATGTGTAATGGCAAATGCCATATATGATTTTCTTAACTGGAATTCTGCCTTTTTGAACAGACTTTTTGATTGAGTCCTAGCTATATTGTCTGCAGTTCTAGGGTTAATATTAATCGAATATGATTGTCATCGGTCTAAATTAGATTTTAAATGATTAACTGTGTATGTAATGAAGTTCATAGTGTGGGTTAAATCCATTTTCATAACCACTGTCTTTTAACTGATTTAAATGCGGAAACTGGGCTTATTCATCAGAATTTTGTATGACTTGACTTGACTTGACTTGACCTGAGCAATGACTTTACTTGACTTGCTTGACTCTCACCACAGTGACTTGGGACTTGCTTGATACTTGTAGGTCAAGACTTGAGACTTGCTCATGACTTGCACATGTAGGACTTACTCCCACCTCTGGTAGATAGCCCCAAAGCTTTTTTATTATTTAAAAGAAGACCTTAAAGGTGGGGTAGGTAAGTTTGAGAAACCGGCTCGAGATACACTTTTTGTTATATTCCATGGAATGCTCTTAACATCCCGATAGCAATGAATATCTTAAGTGCTTTGACAAAAAATCCATACAAAAATGTCATCTGTGGAAGCCGTAGTACTGTAAAAAGCACGACCAATCATTTTAGCCGGCCCGGCTAAAATAACTGGATGGCCTACCTGCCTGTCAGCCTTCCATCTGTGCACAAACTTATCTCGTGCCCTCATTGGTCATGTGCGCGTTCGTGTGTGTTGGAGGAGGGGCTCTACAGTATAAGGAAGTGGCAGATTTTCTCCGGTTGTGTATTTTCAAATTCTAGCGATCTCGAGCCGGTTTCTCAAACTTACCTACCCCACCTTTAACCTAAAGTATTCTTTAATGTTTAAATAAAGGTTAATTCGTTTTTCTGTTTTGCACATCCTCCTATTAATACCTTTGTACATCCGGCACTAAACTGTTTTATTGTAGAGATCACTTACAGTATCTTCTTGATATTTTATATTCTATATTTCTATCATTGAGCTTCTACTTTGCCCCTATTTTGTATGTACTATATTGTTTTCATCAAATATAACATATTCAAAAAATAATTCAATAACGTGCTTTAACCACTAGGCGGTGCACACAAGTTACACACAGCATACAATGCCATAATAACTTTTTATTATTAGTGTAGGACACTTATGTATGTATAACATCTGAAGATGTGTAGTTTTATTCATGTTTTCACATAATCTTACAGGATATTTCACATGTTTTACTTCAACACATTAATATCTGATTTGTAAAACATAAGGCGCTTTCACACCGCAGTACTTTTCCCACAAAGGTTCATCAGAACTTAGTTCATCAGAACTCTTTAGTTCTCATGAACTTAGTACAGATCGCGTTCACACCAGAATAAGTCCCTGGGGGAGGATTAGGCAAATAAACCCGCTGACGTCACTTTTTCTTCTTCTGCTTTGGGTTTACTGGCAGGCCGCAAACAACTTCACGGCGTATACTGCCACCCGGAGTCCCCGGCCGGAAGTCCCCGGAGTTGGGGACTGGCTTCAGTAGAAGCTGCTGGGACTCCCAGCAGCTTCTACTGAAGCCTTCCGAGTAAATCGCCAGAACACCGACACCTCCTCATCTCCACCGCTCCCATGTTTTCTTTTGTGTTGCCATAAGTTAGTCTCTCTGCGTTTCTGCGCTGGGCTAATGCTAATGCTAATAATGCTAATGCGAGGATAATAAAATGGCAAAACCTTTTGGGAGTTTTACGGGGCGTGGTTTGCATTCCGCCCAGCCAATCAGACATAGGAACCTTTTTGTCCCACGAAAGTACCTGCTCTCTAGCAGGGACGGAAAACTGACGGAAAAGGGGGTAAAAAGGTTCTCATGAACTCATTTTAGTTCCTGCTCTTTTTGGTGTGAACGCGACATTTCGGAACTATATCGGAACTAAAGTGGGAAAAGTACTGCGGTGTGAACGCGCCTATAGACAGAAAGGTATATCCGTCATTTAATGGTAAGCTATTGAAATTCTGAATCCATAGATGTGTCTCCCATCACCCAAAACCCCTGACTATTCTCTCAATTCAGTATTTACATTCTTATATTCAAAGAAAATCAGTAATATCTTTAAAAACTAAGTCCTTTTATATCAGCTGTGCACCTTTATGGGGTAAATATAACCTATCTACCAATTGGATCAAATATAAAAGTCAGCCGAATTAGTGTTGATACTGCAAGGAGGCGTATTGTGTGAAGAGAAATTGAAGATGTTCAATTGCTGATATATTTATGATCCACGTCACGTATTCAGTTTCGGTGGCAGTTCTTCCAGTTTGTCCAGAAGTCTGCTAATCAGGGCTCTATAAATAAATAACTAAGGCAGATGTGTAATATTTAATGCAGCCAAACCGTGTATTACAATGCCGTTATGTGATGACTTTCAAAGAGAAAAGCAAGCACACTCGGATTAAAGTATTATTTTCTTTCTTTTAAAAAAATGTTTTTCGGCTTTCATATCGCATAAACACCATATCCCAACGTACATTGCGGCTTAACAATCAAATCACCGAGCTTAAACCATAGCTGAGGATCTTGGGTAATCAGTTCAGTGGGAGTGTATCTTTTTCCGGTTATTTTATTTTGAAATTCAGTTCCTGACGGACGCTAAAAAAGCCAGAGATTATAGAATTAAACAAATAAATAAAAACAAGGATAACTGTGTGTTATTGTTGAGTAAATAACAGTGTGTTATTTAGTCCTCACGGACGGCAAAAGAAGTCCAACATTATACGATGTAAAATAAAAACAATAATCGTGGCTTGATATTGAGTAAGAACATGTTTTTATGAACCACACAGCTTCCGGTCTTCCAAGACCCGACTGGACAAAAAGACGTGGTGCAGGCACAAAACATACTACCAATAGAAATACATTGCTTTTAAAATCGATCTGTGTGACACGAAAAAAAGGGGGAAATCATGTTGGTGAACACGAATCAATAAATTAAATGTCGTGACTATCACACGAAATGCCGTGAGACTGGGTTGCATTGTCTGACGGTGGGCTGTTGTCCACAAAGTGTCTGAACTGTAGAAGTTCCTCTCCATTTATATTGTATAGCAGAGTTGGTGCGGTCGGCTCGCATGTTGCGGACGAGGTTAAAAGCACACGACAAAAAGTAAATAAACACTGAAAAAATACGAAAAAAAGGCCAAGTTGGAGAGGAGCTAAAGACAATGCAGCCTCTTCACGGCGCAGGTGTACTTGTACTGTACTATTTTTTTGCTGTTGTTCTCCAATACCTGACAAAATCGATGTTTCTGCCTCTTAATTTAAAACGTTGTTTCTGTGATGCTCTGTTATTGCTTGTCACATCTTTGGTAAAAAGAGAGGTACAGTCATGAGAGCAGAGCCACAGCTAATCTGCATGTGAGAAATGCCTCTGATGAGTGTGAGCACATTCATACATCTTCACACACTACTGTACCAAACAGACACACTGCACTCCAAACAAGCTCTGGTGATTTATATAAGATATTTGTACATGTTATAAAGTCAAACACATCAGATGATTTTCAAGACTTGCAGACATCTAAAGTTCTGATTGAAGTTGTAATTATCATCAAGCTAGTAACACATTAAACACAACAAGACAGCTACTCAACAAAAATCATATAAACTGAAAATCATAGAAGTAGATATTCAAGATTCAAAACAGAATGAAGCACAAACCTTTGTAGTAAAAGAGACATCTGTCGGTGAGGACGAACCACCTCTTGTTCCACTGCTTCACCCCACTGCTGGCCTGCAGGAACAAGATTCAAGATTTCAAGATTCAATGCTTTATTGTCCTGTGCACAGTAGCTACAGTAGATATGCCAATGACAACTCAATTCACAGGCTCCTCCAACAGTGCAACATGAATATATATAGGACAAATTAAACCAATACAAATTGTGAAAGAAATAACAATAGAAATAAAATAGTGCAAGAGAATGTTTTTGAGATGTGGCAAATAAATACAAATAAAATAGAAGTAGTGCAAGAAGGGTCTATATACAAGTAAATGGGACATGATATATATATATTATATATATATATATATATATATATATATATATATATATATAGATATATATATATATATATATATATATATATATATATATATATATATATATATATATATAAATACATTGAAAGATGCAAACAGATGCATGTTTATGGATGTTCTTTACAGAGTTTAGGTGTTTAATAGGCTTATGGCCTGTGGGATGAAACTGTCGGCAGCAGACAGAACAGTTTGTTGCTGGGGTGATGGGGGTCTTTGATAATCCTGTGGGCTTTCTTCCTGAGCCGCTGGGAGTAAAGATCCTCCATGGATGGCAGCTCCGTCCTGGTGATGTGCTGTGCAGTTTTCACCACCCTCTGTAGAGTCTTACGGTTGAGGGCGGTACTCTCTATGGTGCACCTGTAGAAGGTCAGGATGCTCTCTATGGTGCACCTGTACAAGGTTCAAGGTTCAAGGTTCTTTATTGTCAAACTAACATAGTTACAGAGTAATTATGTTGTTGAAAATCTTATGTCACAGGCTTCTCCAACAATGCAACATAATAATAATACAGATAGTAAAAGTAATACAAAAAGAAAAAATAGTTCTAAAATAAAGTGAGTATGTGGAATAGTGCAGTACGAGTCTATATACAAGTTATTGGAATGATATATATTAGATAGTAGATATATATTACTAAGTAGCAGATGAATGTTTTGAAATTGTTTCAGCAGTTCAATTGTCTCACTGCCCGCGGGAAGAAACTGTCTCCGAATCTTTTTGTTTTTGCCAGGATGCTGCGGTAACGTCTGCCAGACGGCAACAGAAAGAACAGTTTGTGGCTGGGGTGATGGGGGTCTTTGATAATCCGTAGGGATTTCTTCCTGAGCCGCTGGGAGTAAAGGTCCTCCATGGATGGCAGCTCCGTCCTGGTGATGTGCTGTGCAGTTTTCACCACCCTCTGTAAAGCCTTACGATTGAGGGCGGTGCAGCTGCCGTACCAGGCCGTGATGCAGCCAGTCAGGATACTCTCTATCGTGCACCTGTAGAAGTTGCAGAGTATCCTGGAATCCATTTTGAACCTCCTCAACCTGCGGAGGAAGAAGAGCCGCTGTCGAGCTTTCTTGGTGATGGTGGTGGTGTGAAGAGTCCATGTCAGGTCCTCAGTGATGTGGACCCCAAGGCACCTGAAGCTGCTGACTCTCTCCACCGTAGTCCCATTGATGGCGATGGGGGCGTGTCCCTCTCCCTGCTGCTTCCTGTAATCCACAATCAGCTCCTTTGTTTTGCTGATGTTGAGATGGAGGTTGTTATCCTGGCACCAAGATGTCAGCTTTTCGACCTCCTCTCTGTACGCCGTCTCGTCGTCGTCTGTGATCTGGCCGATGACGGTCGTGTCATCAGCAAACTTCACGATGGTGTTGGAGCTGTGTGTGGCCACGCAGTCGTGAGTGAACAGGGAGTAGAGGAGAGGGCTGAGCACGCAGCCTTGAGGGGCACCGGTGTTGAGAATCAGGGTGGAGGATGTGATGTTTCCCACCTGGGGTCTGCCCGTCAGGAAGTTCAGGATCCAGTCACAGAGGGCGCTGTTGAGCCCGAGCTCTCTGAGCTTGATGGCCAGCTTGGAGGGCACAATGGTATTGAATGCTGAACTGTAGTCAATGAACAGCATTCTCACATATGTGTTCCTGTTCTTCGGGTCCAGGTGTGAGAGGGCAGTGTGGATGGTGAGGGCTATGGCGTCGTCTGTGGACCTGTTTGCTCTGTAGGCAAACTGCAGGGGGTCCAGAGAGTCAGGGAGGGAGGAGGTGATGAATGATTTGACTAACCGCTCAAAGCACTTCATTATGATGGAGGTGAGTGCTACTGGGCGGTAGTCGTTGGGGCAGGTGATTATTGTCTTTTTTGGGACAGGAACGATGGTGGAGTGTTTAAGACATGTGGGGACTACAGACTGCAGCAGGGACCTGTTGAAGATGTCTGTGAACACCTCTGCCAGCTGAACTGCACACACCCTGAGAACACGGCCAGGGATGCCATCAGGACCAGGAGCCTTGTGTGGGTTAACCCTTTTAAAGGATTTACACACATCTGCCCTGTTTAAAACAAAAGGGCAGTGTAGCTCCTGGTCCCTCTGTACCTCCACAGCCTGGCTGCTCTCAAAGCGTGCAAAAAAAACTGTTCAGCTCATCTGGGAGAGATGCGCACGCAGACACTCCCGCAGCACCCCCCGCTGCTCCTTTGTAGTCTGTCATTGTTCTTAGTCCCGCCCACATGTTCCTGGTGTTACAGCCTTTGAAGTCAGATTCCACCTTCTCTTTGTACTGTCTCTTTGCATTGCTAATTGCTCTCCGGAGATCATACCTAGATTTCCTGTACTCCTCCAAATCTCCAGCTCTTTGTGCGATAGTGCGCGCTTTCAGTTTGCCGCGCACCTCGCCGTTTATCCAGGGCTTTTGATTTGAGAATGTTCGTACAGAAACCTTCGGTACCACGTCATCGATGCATTTCCCAATGTAGCAGATGACAGTGTCCGTGTGTGTGTTGATGTTATTGTCCTCAAACACACTCCAATCCGTAGATGCAAAGCAATCCTGCAGTGCTGAATCTGACTCCTCGCTCCATCGCTGTACTGTCCTTATTATGGGTCTGTCCCTTTTAAGTTTCTGCTTGTACGCAGGCAGCAGCAGCAGTGAGATGTGGTCTGATTTGCCGAAGGGAGGGCGAGGGAGAGCCTTATATCCATGTCGAAAAGGGGAATAAACATGGTCCAGTATGTTTCCCCCGCGCATCGGGCAGCTGATGTGTTGGTAATATTTTGGCAAGACCTTCTTCATGTTGGCGGTGTTGAAATCCCCGGCCACAACGAACGCCGCATCTGGCCGCGAAGTCTCGGTCTTATCAATAATCCGAAACAGCTGATCGAGTGCCGTGTTGTTGTCGGCGAGTGGCTGCGGCGGGATATACACTGCTGTTATCACAACAGATGTGAATTCCCTCGGCAGATGAAAAGCCCGGCATGTGATCATGAGATGCTCTCGATGAGCGGAACAGTCCGAAGAAATAATCTTCACATCTGAGCACCAGTTGTTATTAGTCATTACACACACACCGCCTCCCTTACTTTTCCCCGAGTTAGCAGTCCGGTCCTGACGAAAAATAGAGAATCCATCAGGAACAATGGCGGAGTCCGGGATTGCGGGGTTGAGCCAAGTCTCAGTGAGAATTAACACGTTACAGTTCTTAATGTCCCGTTGAAAAGCAATCCGACTTCTGAGTTCATCTAGCTTATTTTCAATGGATTGAACATTAGCCAGAAGAATACTCGGAAGAGGGGGTCGATTATCTCGTTTCCTCAGTCTGACCAGCAGCCCTGCCCGGCACCCGCGCTTTGTCTTCTTCTTGCGTCTCTCAGGTAGAACAGCAACAGGTAGCCATGGCGAATCTCCATTGTCTGTCGGAGGGTTATTATTGTCCACGAAGTTTCGCAATTGAAGAAGTTCCTCTCTGCTATATTGTATAGCAGAGTAGGTGCGGTCGGCTTGCATGTTGCGAACCATGTTAAAAGTAAGACGGCAAAAGTAAAATAAATACGCACAAAATACGAAAAGGGGCAAAGTTGGAGAAGAGCCCAAAGACGATGCGGCCATCTTCACCGGCGCATCTCAAGCGCTAATCTGACTGTAGAAGGTCAGGATGCTCTCTATGGTGCACCTGTAGAAGGTCAGGATGCTCTCTATGGTGCACCTGTAGAAGGTCAGGATCCTCTCTATGGTGCACCTGTAGAAGGTCAGGATCCTCTCTATGGTGCACCTGTAGAAGGTCAGGATGCTCTCTATGGTGCACTTGTAGAAGGTCAGGATGCTCTCTATGGTGCACCTGTAGAAGGTCAGGATGCTCTCTATGGTGCACCTGTAGAAGGTCAGGATGCTCTCTATGGTGCACCTGTAGAAGGTCAGGATACTTTCTATGGTGCACCTGTAGAAGGTTAGGATGCTCTCTATGGTGCACCTGTAGAAGGCCAGGATGCTCTCTATGGTGCACCTGTAGAAGGTCAGGATCCTCTCTATGGTGCACCTGTAGAAGGTCAGGATGCTCTCTATGGTGCACCTGTAGAAGGTCAGGATGCTCTCTATGGTGCACCTGTAGAAGGTCAGGATACTTTCTATGGTGCACCTGTAGAAGGTTAGGATGCTCTCTATGGTGCACCTGTAGAAGGCCAGGATGCTCTCTATGGTGCACCTGTAGAAGGCCAGGATGCTCTCTATGGTGCACCTGTAGAAGGTCAGGATCCTCTGTAAACTGAACTACACACAACCTGAGAACACGGCCAGGGATGCCATCAGGTCCAGGAGCCTTGTGTGGGTTAACCCTTTAAAGGATTTGCACACATCTGCCCTGTTTAAAACAAAAGGGCAGGGATCCTGATCCTTATGTGCCTCCACAGCCTGCCTGCACTCAAAATGAGCATAGAAGCTGTTTAGCTCATCTGGGAGAGACACACTCACAGACAGTCCCCCAGAATCACCGGCTGCTCCTTTGTAATCAGTCATTGTTCTTAGTCCTGCCCACATGTTCCGGGTGTCAGAGCCTTTGAAGTCAGATTCCACTTTGTCTCTTTGCACTGCTGATAGGTCTCTGGAGCGCGTACCTTGACTTCCTGTACTCTTCCAAATCTCCACCTCTGTGCGCGATAGTCCGCGCTTTCTGCTTGGCAAGGACCTCACCGTTTATCCAGGGCTTCTGATTCGGTGTCACAACGTTTCAGGTTAGAACACACAATAAATAAAGGCAGCCCAAGACAAACAGTACAACAACATCGACATAGTATCAATAACACATTTCATATGACCTTAGGGTTATGTAAAACAGGAACATTTGTAAAAGTCCCATGAAGGTATTGAACAAACTGAAGGTTTTGACATTGTGCGGCTCAGGAGAAGACTTCCTCAGTGTCATGAATTTGCAGGGTAACAGTGTTTATTCAGACTTCTATCATGCAACATGCAATGTCCTCTAAGATTACAAGATTGTGCTTCAAATCATAGTCTCCAAAAATAGTCCTTAAAAAATGTTTTTAACACAAGTTTAATTCTTCATGAGAGGAGAGGAAAAAGGCTTCACCTGCTTGTACAGCCATCCCTGTTTGCTGACCTCTGCTTTGGGATTTCTGCGCATGGAGTTTGAGCGCTTCCCAAACGTAGCTGCCGTTCGAAGAGAACTCCTGGGAGTACGAGACGCCTGCAATTACCAAGATATAAAATAGAGGTTTAGTATAAAGGTTATGGAAATGTACACGTTGATAGTGGGGTATAGAGGATTACAATTATAGGAGTATTTTTTCGAATTATATTACATGAAGACCATAAAGTGATCTTCCACTTATAGGTTCTTAAAGAATATGCACAATGGGCATAAACACATATAAATGTAGCAAATACCGGCTCATCATTAACTGCAAGCTAGGATTTGATTTGAGGAGTTAAAACATTTTAAAACAATGTTATGAATAATGATAAATTTGTTAATTATTTTCTCAATGAGGGAAGTCAGGTCTAACAGGATGTGACTGAGAACTTGTTTACTTAGCAAAGACCCGTTAAGCAACAATGGCGAGTTTGATCACACTACTTCCTCAGGCAGATGAAACCAAAGACTGCTTGCTCCCCCACACACAGCATATCTGTTTACCATGAAAGCATGCTGCAGTAGCGCTGATATCCCAAAACCTTTTCTCATTGTTTAAATTAAGTATTTCCTGGAACACTCCATCTGCCATGGATGGGTGAGTCTTTGTGGTGTGCTCACCCTGGTGTAAGGCTGGCCTTCTGGGGACAGGTTTGACACCATATTGGCACTTTTGGAGTCAGTGATCTTCTCAGCAGTAGGATTCACTTTCCCATTCATTTCCAAATCACAGTGCCTGGACAGAAGAGCAAAGACATGAGCTCCTAATAGTGCAACAGTGCATGCTGTGCACTTCTACCACTTATTGTCTAGTAGCCTGCCAAGAGCAGTGTGTGATGGCAGAGTAATTACTTTGCAAAATTACAATTGGTACAACTCAGATCTGACCTTGTTTAATGAGGTCTAATGTGTAGCACCCTGCAGACTTGTCTCAATGTTTGTGTTTGCCTGAGAAGGACCTCTGGTGGTTGTGTGTAAAAAGACTCTTGGCTGCCACACGCACAGGTGGAAAGACTGTGTTGTTACAATGTGAGACTTCAACACTAGAGGCAGCTAGTATAGTTTGTTCATTATTACCAAGACAAACACACACTCTCTGTATACCCAGTATAGCTCTTACTTTAGCCCAATGAAACCAACAAGCATGTTGAAACATCCTACGTTTCTGTCTAACTTAGTTATTGTTGATAAACTCTGATTGGACAATCTCTGATTTGTTAAATGTAGGTACAGTATGTTGACATATACTGTATATTAACTAACATTACTGTGGTTCCACATATTTTCCTTGTTTTATTTTCTCTTTGGGAAAGGTGAAATTAGTTAACATAAGACACCAAATACATTTTATAAGGGATTCAATGACAATACATTACATATAGTAACTAATTAAACCAGCAAAATACACCCATATGCAGGGTAGGAGAGTGAAATATCAAACGAAAACAGTGACCTGCTGGTGCCAGTTTACAGCTGCCATGTTCATGTGGGTCAAACATGTGTTAGTAATGGATGATTGGAGTTGGCCACCAGTCATATCGATCTACTGACAAGTATTAATGCATGTCATTTCCATTCTCTCTTTGCTCACCTCCTATAATTTCCTTATACATGCAGTAACATCAGCACCACCCAGAGGCGTGTGCAAGTAACCTGCTGTGCACCAGCCAAGTGTTGTTTTTCTAAAACTGATCGCCTACTTTCTTTCTGTTTGTGCTAACAAACAACACAATTATTTTGATAACACAGTGCATGTTTGTGGGGTAATAACTACATAATTTGTAGAATTTTGTGTATGCATGTAGGTGTACAGGATAGGAGCTGAACATATTATTGCTGCTTAGTTCAGTTCAAAGGTCACTTACTGCAGATAGGAGTGTAAGGTGGGCTCTTCCAGCTGGAGGGGGCTCAGTGCTGCTCCAGCTGGTCCACTGGGGTCATGTTGACTGCAAACACACAGAGGAAGGACACAGAGGGGACAGATGGCGATTACTTTTCTTAATGTGTCCATATTACAAACACAGGTGAAGATAACTACAGTTTACCCGAACCATGGTCTTAAGTTCACCGTTTCTTCTATCAGTTATGATACAGTAGGAATAATGTTTGGCGCCTCAGATGACAGCAATTTACTTTAAACATTCAATGGTCGTACTACATAAAGTATGTATAATGCAAAGACATGTGCATCCTAAATCTGAATTTTCTCTTGCTATAGTCCAACAAAAAGTACATTGCCATACTATTTGACTTTCACATCTGACTATAACTCTACTCACATGTCTGTGTGATAAGTGCATCTGTGAGTGTTTGTTGTTGATTTGAAAACCACAAGCAGAGATATGTTTGTTTTTAGTGGCAATGACAACCCAGGTTCTTCCTTTTGGCAATGAAATTACAATAAATGTATGATATAAGTACATTTACAAGTGTAAGTATAAGAGTACTATGCAAACATTATCCTCCCCCAATTATTCCTGACTCGTCCTGACTTTTCTTTGTTTAAGTGACCTGTTAAGCCCTGAGCCTGTTTTTCAGTTCTCAGGCTCGAAAATTCATGAGATGTTTAACATTGAAAGAAAAGTGCAGGCGACAGTCACTGACAATGGCAGTAACTTTGTGAAGGCCTTCAGAGAATTCGGACAGGGGGAGGAGGTTGAAAAAGGCTATCAAGATGGCAATGAAGATGCTGGGTTTGAGGATGTCGGTGCCATTCTTGAAGGTGAGGGACTGCAGTTTTTTCTGCCTCCACACCAGCGCTGTGCATCACACACGTTTTGCTATTAGGCGCCGTGCTGGTGGCTGCCTGTTGCTTGCAGCTCCCGGTGTTTTATTGATCTTTGTCTTTTTGTTTACTTTTATTCTCTTAGTTGTACTTTTTTCTTTGGATATTTATTTTGTCTTGCAGCGAACTATGGCCACGTTTTACTTTGAACGTTTTCTGGTCATTCTTCTGCTACTTTTTTCACTTTTTGTGTCGGAGAGCCATGCTCAGAGGAGTGATGGCATTGTTTACTCGCGTGAGCAGCTGATTGCGCTGTGCCGACCCGTGCTGCTGCCCGGAGCCAGGCATGACATCCCGGAGGAGCTTCGGAGGCTTAAGCGGGGCTGCAGAGCTGGGGCCAAGCTGAGGATGAAGAAGAAGATGAGATACAAACCCTGTGTACCGGCCATCATAATGGGGAACGTGAGGTCTTTGGGGAATAAGATGGACGAGCTCCGCGTGCTGACGAAGACGCAGTGGGAATACCGTGAGTGTAGCATCATGTGTTTTACCGAGACTTGGTTGCACACGCTCATCCCGGATAATAACACGGCTCTCCCCGGCTTCACGAGTGTTCGGGCGGACAGGGACGTTATTCTGAGCGGCAAAAAGAAAGGAGGAGGGATTGCACTGTATGTGAACGAACGATGGTGTAATCCTGGACATGTTACTGTGAAGGAGCGTTTCTGTAGCCCGGACATTGAACTGCTAGCTGTGGGATTACGTCCATTTTATCTACCTAGAGAACTTTATTCTGTCATCGTAGTTGCTGTCTATATTCCACCGAACGCGGACGCAGAGGTGGCTGGTGACGTCATTCACTCCTCTGTGGCCAAACTCTTCACCCAAATGCATTCATCACAATAACTGGGGATTTTAACCGTGCAAAACTGGACAAATCTCTGCCTACATTCACTCAGTATGTGAAATGCCCCACCAGGGGAAATAATACTCTGGATCTTTTATATGCTAATACCAAGAATGTATATTGTGCCACTGCCCTCCCCCCCCTGGGCTGATCTGACCACAACCTCGTCTTTTTGGCTCCTAAATATGTCCCTCTGGTACAGAGGCAGCCTGTATCCACCAGGACTGTGAGGAAATGGACTCCAGGGGCTAATGAGGCTCTACAGCAGTGGTTCCCAAACTTTTTGTGCCCAAGGCACACCAAAGGACAAGTAAAAATCTCAAGACACACCTATTGTGCAAAATAGCCCTTATAACACGTGTTATGACTCATATCATGTAAAATATCTGTAAATGTGCATAATCATTTACTAATGCCAAATAAAATGTGACAAAGACAACTATATTACTATATATATATATATATTTATTAACGAAATATTTCAGAAATTAATTTGAAACTTTATCAAATTAGGCTTCATCAAAGCAGCACACTCATTTAAATCAGACAGGTCACAAAATTAAAAATTGTGGAGGATCAGGCTTTGGTGGTCGGCTCCCATCTCGGCGCACAGCTGGGAGAAGAGGCGAGATTTCAGGGGCCTTGATTTGATGTAATTCACCATCTGCACAGCCTGATTCAGCACCTCAGTCAACTCCGGGGCCATGGTTTTGGCAACTAATGCCTCTCTATTCAAAATGCAGTGGTTTGTCACGATATGTGGGTTTTGTGCTCTCACCTTAGCAATAAATCCTTTCTCTCCCAGTCATGCTTGCCGCGCATCTGTGCAAAGACTGACGCACATATTCCAGGTCAGACTGTTCTCTTTTAAATAGTTATTAGTTACCCTGAATATTTCTTCTCCCGTAGTATGGCTTTCCATTTCTTTGCAAAAGAAAAACGTCTCTTTGGTAGAGTCAGCATCAACATATCTGACGTTTGCCAGAAGTTGGGCAGCCCCACTTATGTCAGTAGATTCGTCTATTTGTAGGGAAAATCTGCCGCTCGCCTGCAGTGCCATAAGACAGGTAACTTTCATGATACTGTCTGCTGACAGTTTTTTTCCTCTTTTCTTTCGGTGGTGGGTTGTCGGCAGTCTGCACTGGTGGTTGGTGGTTTGCTCCGCACAAGAAAGCGCTCCATTTCCCCTCTTGCGTGTTTCTCTGTTTTAATGTTGTCCTTCAGCCTTCGATGTGTCACGGTCTTATAATTCCCACCTGCAACTGCGTTAACAGCGAAATATGGGGTTCTGTGAGGATTTTTTTTTAAATAATTGTTTTTAGGTATAGAGTTTGCCTCTGTATTATGAAATGAGTGCATACAAAGTACTGATATAGTAAATTAAAAAATAATTATTTTTGTGTAGTTGTATATTGCAATAATAACGTATGGTTGTCACAAAATCCCACGGCACACCCGGACTTGCCTCACGGCACACCAGTGTGCCGCGGCACACCGTTTGGGAACCACTGCTCTACAGGACTGCTTCGAGACCACTGACTGGGACGTGCTTTGTGTGCCACATGGAGAGGACATCAATAACATGACTGACTGCATCACAGAATACATCAACTTCTGTGAACAAACAATATTACCGGCTAAAACTGTCAACTGTTTCCCCATCGGAGTAACGCAAACGCAACCGCAAAAAACCTTCCGCCCACACGCAATATACACCGGATTGTGTCAAACTCCACGAGACGGCTCCGTTTACATCCAACCGCTGGGAAAGCTGCAGTACATATGCCGAGCCTGTACGTGGCGCTGTAACTTCCTCCACAAAAGCAGCAACTTCCTCCACAAAAGCAGCGAAGAAGAATGGTTTTCATGGCTGCACTTCTGTTTATTCTCCGTGGTGGGGGCCGAGGGATCCGGGCAGAGTTTTTCGCCGGTCAACGTGTGTTAAAGTTTAAATCTTCCGGACAAAATTATAAAAGTGCCGGTCAAAGGTCTTCTTTGTTATTTATTGAGCTTTAAAACAAATGAATAACGACGATATAATGATATATGATAATAAAATACACAGAGCCTGTCTCTTTTTCCTCTCTTCTCACAGCGTCAGTGTCTGTCTCATGCAGCAGCTGATCCAGTAATGATGACTCGACAGTAAAAATAAACATATTTATAACTAGTTAGAGGTAATTAAAATAGCTATTGTTGTTGTTAACGAAACACATCAGCAATGATGCGGGGTACGCGGAGAGGTGGGAAGAGGTGGGGAGAGGTGGGGAGAGGCGGGGCTATGAAACGGATGACCGTATAGGCGACCCCACGGCCCCGTTGGACCCCCCAGAGCGCTCCATTCCCAGATCTATCCACCTTTGGACCCGTTGTCGTTTGCGGGGTCTGTTTCTACGTTTCCGTTACGGCGTCGTCGAGCTTAAAGGGCTATACGCATGAGAAATATGCGGATTCAACCCGTTTTCGTCCCCGTGGAGCCTAGGCCTAAGCTCCAGCAGAACAATAGCAGGGATGTCTGGGCTGGGATGAAGGCTATCACTGGCTTCAAAGGGAGAGACAGACTGACTGTGGGCACCCTGGAGAGGGCCAACGAGCTGAACACCTTCTTCAATAGGTTTAACTCTCCGCCCGCTGCTGTCTCCTCCACCTCCACTTCTCACCTCACCTCACCTCCTCCTCTCAGCCTGGCGTCAGCATCCCCCCTCTGCTCACCACCTACACTTCACACCTCTCCTCCACCACCCAGCCTGGCTTCTGCACCCCCCCTCTGCTCACATTGCCGCTGACCCCCCCCCCCCTCTGCTCATCTTGCCTCAGACCCCCCCCCCCTCTATCCCCCCTGCCATCAAGCCCCCCCCCCCGCTTCACTGTGAGCACAGGACAGGTCCAGAGTCAGATGGAAAAACTCCACCAAGGCAATGCTGCTGGCCCTGATGGTATCAGCCCCAGGGTCCTGAGGACCTGTGCACGCCAGCTGGCTCCTGTTCTCCAATATCTCTTCAACCTCAGCTTGCACCTGGAGACCATCCCGGTGCTGTGGAAGACGTCCTGCGTTGTTCCGGTCCCTAAAAAGACCACTCCTTCTGGGCTCAATGACTATCGCCCTGTAGCACTCACATCTCATGTGATGAAGGTGCTTGAGAGACTGGTCTTGGCCCATCTCAGACCGCAGGTGAGATCATTCCTTGACCCTCTGCAATTTGCCTACCAGCCTCACCTGGGGGTGGACGATGCCATTATTTACCTGCTGCAGCGTGCTCACTCATACCTGAATGGATCGGGTTGCACTGTGAGAATCATCTTTTTTTATTTCT